ACTCCTCAACACCCCACTGAGCGGTGGAGAACTCACTACAGTACCCCACACAGCGGTCTGTATTTCGCCCCACTAAGACGGCGAACCAAAAAAAGTTCGAACTGCGCAACTCTGCGACTTAATGCTTCTGTACAAAAAACCCCACTGAGCGGCCTTGTACATCGCCCCACTTAGACGGCGAATTTTAGCCCCACTGAGCGGCCACGGACAACGCCCCACTGAGCGGCGAAGACGTAATTTTAGCCCCACTAAGCGGCCACGGACAACGCCCCACTGAGCGGCGAAGACATACAGTTATAGAGTTGGACTCTAAACTTACTCGGTGTTGCTTAGCGTGTAATATCAGCCTCGAATCCCGCCAATCGCCATTCATCGAGGAGAAAAGACATACAGCGAATCCACAGGAACTTCCTGGCTGACGTCAGTCTTTCAGCGTGTCCCTCCTCCCCTCGGTGAATGCGATTCCAGGGCTCCGGCATCGAAGGACCAATTAATGATAGGTTTGTAGCATAAACCTATTCGCTGGAACGTTAAGACAATATAATTACACTGCTAAGCAAGACACAAGTAGGCAAAGTTCTTCATGTTACTCGTGCACGGGAGAGAACCGGACAACCGCTTGACTCCAGTTGGTCTCGTCCGTTCTCCCGTATCACTGTCCTTTTATTGAGGTTACATGAATATGCATAAGTTCATTAACATATGACGTCTACATACACAAAGAGTACCTTGCCTGTGTGTGTGTGTGTGTGTGTGTGTGTGTGTGTGTGGGGAGACTGCTGATCAAAGGGTCAAACATCCTTGGTCAGGAAGAGGGTAGCCTCCCCCTCACCCTAGATGGTTCATCCTAGATAACACGGTGAGGAAGTACTGCAGTTCATCTAAACAAAGAGCACTTAGACTAGAACAGACGCAACTACGTTAATCCTACCATAAAATAATAAGACACGGTATGACCTCTCATGCTCCCAAAGTGCTGTCTAATACACACAAAGTTTGCAGACTATCAAGGATCAAAACCTCTACCAATCTACAACTAATTACAAAACTCTAAGCATATATAAGTAAATATTTCTAAGCATAAATGACAATCAACAATACAAATCTAACATCATCCTAGTGCAAAGACAAAAACAACAAGCATGCTACTAACTATAGCCGAGTCATTTAGACAGCTGTTAGCACATGATTCTCCTTATGGGGACCTGATATGTTTAATATGCTGCTGAGAATATAGCCCAGAAGAAGCGGATAGTATAGCTTTTATTTTGGAAAGAGACATTTCTCTGTAATAAACTCTCTTTTCCAAAGATGAGTGATTCCTCAATCAGATACAGGGCTCGCAAAATCGCTAGCCCGACATCCTGGGGCTAGCAATTTTTTCAGTCGGGCTACCAAAATCTATCTCTGCCCTGCCCGTCGGGCTATTGTAGGAAGGAAAAATATATGTCAATGCTTTTGCATTCTTTCAGAAATGTAGCTGGGTAATTATGTCATTGGCATCGGTGAGCCACTGTCAATATGTGACATATTGAAATCCCGTTTGAATTTGCGCTTGTTTTTTTGCTTTCACTTTGCAATTTTACAGGTCACCAGAGAACTTCAATCTATACATCTAAAAACCACAGACCAGGCGAGAAATTTGGATGTAGTGATGGATGCAGACCTAAACTTAGAAAAACACATTAAGACAATAACAAAATCAGCTTACTATCACCTCAAGAATATTTCAAGGATAAAAGATCTGATGTCTCAACAGGACCTGGAAAAACTAGTCCATGCATTCATCTTTAGTAGGCTTGATTACTGTAACAGCATCTTTACAGGTCTACCTAAAAAATCAGTCAGACAACTACAGCTCATTCAGAACTCTGCTGCTCGAGTCCTCACTAAGACCAAAAAAGTGGACCACATCAGTCCAGCTCTGAGGTCTTTACACTGGCTGCCTGTCCGTCAGAGGATAGACTTTAAAGTTCTGATGCTGGCCTATAAAGCTCTGAATGGTTTAGGACCAAAATACATCAGTGACCTCCTGACCCAGTATGAACCTTCCAGATCCCTCAGGTCATCTGGATCCGGTCTTTTATCAGTTCTCAGAGTCAGAACCAGACACGGAGAAGCTGCATTCAGCTTTTATGCTCCTTATATCTGGAACAAACTCCCAGAAAGCCTCAGATCAGCTGAAACACTCAGTTTATTTAAATCCAGGTTGAAGACTCACCTGTTCTCAGCTGCATTTGAATAAAGCACCAAATCCACACTTTTAAGCTTAAATTTCAAAACTTACACTAACTACTGATCTTATCTATTTCTGATTTTATCTGTCTTGATTTTATATACTGTTTTGTTTGTTTGTTAATTAGTTAAGCTTAAATTTCAAAACTTACATTAACTACTGATTTTATCTACTGTTCTGATTTTATCTGTTTTGATTTTATATACTGTTTTGTTTGTTTGTTTGTTTGTTAAGTGGGATTAGAGCTCTGGGTAGCTCCCCAGCTGGGTCTAGACTGGGTCTAGAGAGTATTTTAAATTCGGGGAATTTAAAACAGAAAGTAGCTCGTCCACATAAGGACTGGTAGCTCCCCTTACGATAAGGGTTCAGATCGCGCGAACAGGTGTGGGATTAGAGCTCTGGGTAGCTCCCCAACTGGGTCTAGACTGGGTCTAGAGAGTACTTTAAATTCAGGGAATTTAAAATAGAAAGTAGCTCGTCCACAGAAGGACTGGTAGCTCCCCTTACGATAAGGGTTCAGATCGCGCGAACAGGTGTGAAATGTGTGTGTTTAGTTAGTTTGTTTGTTTGCTTGTTTTAATCAATTTTAAATCATGCTTTTTATTTGTTTTTGTTTCTAATGTCTCTGTAAAGCACTTTGAATCACCTTGTTGTTGAATTGTGCTATACAAATAAATTTGCCTTGCCTTGCCTTGCCTTGCCTTGCTTACCTTCAGGGTCATACGTCACATGAAAACCAAAATAATTCCAAACGCCAGATCTGAATGAGGGTGGGGGAGGTTCATGTTGCAAGGAGAGCTTAACTTCTGTCTTGCTAGCTTGCCCTGCGCTCTTCATTCTGACTATGCTGTCTGTGTTGAGCGCTCAGTGGATCTGCGTTCGACTACTCCGCCTAGGCTGCACTGTCGAGCGCAGATCCACTGAGCGCTCCACACAGACAGCATAGTCAGAAGGAAGAGCACAGGGCAAGCTAGCGAGACAGAAGTTAAGCTCTCCTTGCAACAGGCAAATTGACCCTCATTCAGATCTGGCGTTTGGAATTATTTTGGTTTTCATGTGACGTATGACCCTGAAGGTAAGCGAGTCATGGACTAAAGTAAAACAGTATGTTGGATGTGCCACGCAATGCTCAATTACATGGGTGTGAACTAGTGTGTTAGCGCAGTTAGCTCGTTAACGTGTTGGCCGTCTAGCCCCATGCACGGAGCGATCGGCGGTAGCTCGTTAACGGAGATTTGCCGTGTTGTGGCGTTAAGGTCATTTGAACGAGATTAACCTGAAAGCACTAGTGGGAACACAACGAATATGACTGCACATTTACACCGACATCATCCTAGTGCAAAGACAAAAACAACAAGCATGCTACTAACTTTAGCCGAGTCATTTAGACAGCTGTTAGCACATGATTCTCCTTATGCTGCTGAGAATATAGCCCAGAAGAAGCGGATAGTATAGCTTTTATTTTGGAAAGAGCCATTTCTCTGTAATAAACTCTCTTTTCCAAAGATGAGTGATTCCTCACCAATTCCTCTGACATCGTCTTATTAATCGTTAGCTTACTATGCAAACATGACAAGTGAAATCTCCCGCAGCTTAAACATGTGAGAGGTTGATCGCGCAGAGAATCGCTGAGCTTATGTGAGTGCGCGTGTAAAAGCATTTCAGTTCTGCTGAGCCAAATAAGACAGGTCAGGGTGAAGAAGTGACAGCCAAATAAAAGCTTACCACAAAACGGAGAAGTTATGACAAATCAGACTATAAGGCAAAAAGAAAGTGCAGCTTTATGGTTTCATGGACAAAATAATTTCTGTGGCTGCAATATGACGAGCTATATAACCAGGGCTGCACATAAGTGGTCCACAGGTGCGCATTCGCTGTCAAAATAAAAAACGCGCACAAGGGTTAGGGTTAAATTTAAAAACTGTACTTTTGAGTTAAAATATATATTTATAATTTTAATAAATGACAAATTAAAAAGGCATGAACATTTTTTTTGTATCGAAAAAATATCGAACCGTGACACCAAAGTATCGAACCGAACCGAACCGTGAATTTTGTGTATCGTTGCACCCCTAATATATATATATTGGGGGTGCTAGTAGGTGTTAGGTTCAGGGAATTTACGCAAATTTGCACGGGGTTAGTAAATCTAGTGGTAGGGACTTGCACCAAGAAAAAAGTCAGTATTTCTAGTGTTAACCATAATGTAAACCAACAAGAGGCCACCAGACAGGAAAACATACAAAGAGACTTTAAGAGAATGCTAACTGCCCCAACAGTACTGACCTAAGCCTAATCTTAAAAGTAGAGAGGGTATCTGTCTTCCGAATCCAAATTGGCAGCTGTTTTCACAGAAGAGGGACCTGAAAGGTGAAGGTTCTACCTGCCATTCTCCCCAACTTTCAGGCAATGAATGGTTAATCTAAAAAATAAACAAAAAAATACTGCAGTGAGTGTCCTGTAAAGTTTTTAACTAATTTTAAATAAACTTTTAAATGTTTTGTGCACTTTGATTAAAAATTTTCAGGGATACGACTTTGTTTTGTTTGATTATATATCGTCTTTATTTTCTCATCGTAGATGGTCTGTTTATATTATTTGTAGAGTTTGTAAATGAGCAGCCAAAATGGTTTTCACTGAGTCAGCAAAACTGTTTCTCCCCACAACATGATTTTCATTGGTATATCTAAGCAACATGCTTACCATGTGGAGATTTGCTAATGGTTAAGGCAAAAAATGTATGCTTTTTGATCTGTCCCTTCAGATTTTCCACAACATGACTGTAAGGATGTGGAGGGGCTCACAAATCAGCAGGTCTGTAACCAGGAGAAGAACTCCAGTTTAGGCCAGGAGGATCCTTCACAGATTAAAGGGGAACAGGAGGAACTCAGTACCACTGAAGAGGAAAAACCGCTTGTACTAATGCAGGAGACTGCAAATTTTCCATCTCGTGAAAAAAGTGACCACAGTGAATCAGAACCATGCTGTGACCAGTGCCTTTCTCACAACTCTTCTGACACAGATGAGGATGAAAGCAAGGATGGTAACTCACACAGAAATAAGTCGGAGCAAATCGTATCAGGCTTGTCAGTTCAAAATTCCAAGACAGCTAAGTTATGTAGAACCTGTGGGAAAAGATTTATTTGGAAGTCAGACTTAACTAAACACATGCGAATTCACACAGGCGAGAAGCCACATTGCTGTAGTAGTTGTGGGAAAAGATTTACTAGGAAGAGTCACTTGAATATGCACATGCAAATTCACACAGGTGATAAGCCACATTGCTGTAGCACCTGTGGGAAAAGATTTACTAGGAAGAGTCACTTGAAGAGACACATGCAAATTCACACAGGTGATAAGCCACATTGCTGTAGTAGTTGTGGGAAAAGATTTCATGTAAAATCAAATTTGAAAACACACATGCGAATTCACACAGGCGAGAAGCCACATTGCTGTAGCACCTGTGGGAAAAGATTTACTGTGAAGGGTCATTTGAATATGCACATGCGAATTCACACAGGCGAGAAGCCACATTGCTGTAGTAGTTGTGGGAAAAGATTTCATGTAAAATCTAATTTGAATATGCACATGCGAATTCACACAGGCGAGAAGCCACATTGCTGTAGCACCTGTGGGAAAAGATTTACTAGGAAGAGTCACTTGAATATACACATGCGAATTCACACAGGTGAGAAGCCACATTCTGTATTACTTTAGTACAGTTGAAAATGCATTTCGGAAACCATCCTACATGCTAAGTTTCATTCTTAGAAAATGGTGATGGCAGATCACATAAACAGTGTTTGGATCATTTAAAAATGAGCATTCGGAAAAAAAAACTTCATTTTGAAAAGGTTTTCAGAAGCTCAGTTTCTTTTTTCACACATGGACAAGAAAAAGTGTTTGTCTCGCAACATGAAATGTTTGCACCTTTATCACATTTTCTGACATCATTTTTTATTGTTTATGGGCTTTGTCTTTACTGAAGTTTCTTCATTTTCTTTGGCATGGCCTCAACAGTGCTTGAGATATTTTTGGGTCTTGACATAAAAGAACTATTTCTCAGAATCACACTTGGAAATATCAGTTTAAAAAAACTACCCGTGTACATGCGGTAGCCTTTATTGAAATCAGTTTTTTCTCTGAAGTTCACAGTTTGAAGGTGTTTAAAGCATGAGACAGTTTACTAACTGTACACTGTTCGCTAACTTGCACACTGCCAGAACTCCTGTTGGGATTTTGTTTTTGTTTTTAATGAATTTATACACTAGATTGACATTAATGGGAAGTGCTTTGTAGATGGAAAGGGAATATTTTAGGGAATGACAATGTTAGGCGGTTGATTCAAGTTCTCGTATTGTTTGTGACCCATATACTTAGGTCATTTATTATTCATATTTTTAACATAGCTTGCACTACTGTTATGTGAACACCTGTTGATACCCAGCTGTTGTTTTGTAAAAGGACCTCAGAAGAGTCCCGGGAGTCTTCATCTTTATTTATCTTGATTGGTGTTTGGCCTGCATGTACTTATGGCGAACACCCTAGTGGGCTTTTCTTTCTTCTAAATCTTTGTTAATCTTGTATGTTCAATAAAACTGTTGGCATCACACTTCACTCATCTCCTGTAGATTTTGTGTTTTGGTTTCAATTGTGTTCCAAAAGCCTGAATCAACATCTTTCCAGCCTATAGAAATTCTGCAAAGCCTTTAAAATTTGCGACCCCACAATCCTGCTGCTCTTTGAAAAACTAACAGTACTTCCAAACGAGCTGTTAAACAGGGCTTCATGTGATCTGCCTTTTGGTGATCAACTGGTCAGAAAGATTCAACGCATTCAAGTGGATAATCATGCTAACTTCCTTGATTCTTGTCCTCACTTTCCAGGTCCTCAACGGTACTCCATCAATGTCTCCTGAAGATGTTTGTTTCAGAACAAAAGTGGAGCAAATAATAGCAAACACTGAACACACACCTCCCCTGTCTGCCAAGAGCATGTCTAAGACTTTTCTATACCACCATCAGTGACGTGAAGACAGATTGTTCAATATTAGATTATTCTGTTATTATATGTTACCTTATATATGTAATCAAAGTAGTTGAATTAGAATACTGCTGTAGATCACATTATACCCTTTAATATAGAGTGTGTGAGCTGTATGTAGTTTAGTTCTCATTATACTTTTGAGTTAACAGAACATATTCACATATTAGTTCATTAGATAAATGTGCAGAAATGAAATAGAAGTTGATTTAAGGAAAAGCAGATGCTGGCTTCACGGTGCAGTTGAACGCTGGCAACGCGAGAGCGAAACACGTCCGTAGGTTTGGTTTATGATACGGCGTGTTCCGGTGGTGCGGCCGTGAAGTGCAGTAGTGGTTGGTGCTAGTTTTAGTACATTGGATAGAGGTTTTGACGGTGGTTTGTGGCGTCAGTCGAGTTTTAAGGGCTGCGGTCATAATACAAAGTAAAATTTTAAGTACATAGAGCAAAACCTGGTTTATGATGTCAGGTATAACTTCGGGGATGCAAGCATCACTTTTATGATGCGACTTTGCCCCGTTGTGGCGGTCATAAGCGCAGAGAAAGGGGTATTTTGGTCTATGGTGCAGTGTGCTTTAAGAAGATCTAACAGTTGAGCTCAGAAGTTTCTGTGTAATCTTCCACTGATGAGGAACGCTCTCTGTGTGTCTCACTGATGGTGTAACGCGCTGTGTGTGTAAGGCGCGCTCTGGCTATGTGTGAGGCGCGCGCTGAGTGTGTTTCTGTGTGTGAAGTGTGAACACAGTGACAGTGACGGTTGATGTGTTTGATTAGGAGGACATTAGAGCAAAGACACATTTTAGGATCAAAGGTTGATGCCTAGTGTACCTGTGGAAATAATTTTGCCCTAGGAGTGGCGACCCTCCTGTTCGTGGACGCGCGGCCAGGACCGGCGGCGTCCGGGTGCCGAGGTGGTGACTTGGGGAGGTGAGGGCCCCCGCATAGCTACGGAAATAACACTGGAACGGCCGTGTAATCACGGGTTCACATTTATTCCGGACTAGAACAAGACACATTTTGCGAACAAAGGTTGAGTCTAGATTAGTAAAGAAATATAAAAAGGTTGAATTCCTCGTTTCAGTGGTTGAAATTGTTGTGTGCCTGTCCCCTGACGAGTGTGAAATTAAAATAAAGAGGGAATTTGGAGCCACATAGAGATAGACGGGCATAATTGGGTGTATTACTCTGTGGTGTAATAAAAATAAAAAGGAGAGATAGTAAGAGGTGTGCAGTGGAGAATTATGGAGGAGTACAGAGAGGAATGTGTTGGGAGACTGGCGTACAGTTTACGCTGTCAAGGTAGGCGGGTTGCCTGCTTATCTGTTTAACATGTGATGAAAATGAAATTAAATAAATCTCTTAGTGTGTTAATACAGGAAGCTGCGGACCTGGACCAACTGCCCCCACAAGCACAGCGGTCGAAGCAAAATTATAGGTAATGGAACCACACCCAGCACGAATCAGCAGCTGTGAAAAAGACAGCAGCGAGGAGAGAATTAGAGGAGAAATTAAGAGAAGTTTTAACACATAAAATTGGGGCCAACGGACTTGTGGAGGTTGGGAAGGCGTCCGGAGCATCACAACAAAAAGGTGAAACAAAAACACACAAGCAGAGAAATCTGAGAGAAAGGCTCCTTTTAAGGTAACGCCTAGTTTGAGAAAAGATAAAATTAACCTGCTTTTATACAAATGCACATACACGCAATGAAGAAACAGCTTACACTCATGAACACGTGAAGATTTTCCAGCAAGGTTAAAGAAAAATTAACATACTTAAATGATGAAGTCTATACATTACTGACAAAGAAACCCTCTGGGTTGCAGGACAACAATTTAACTAAAAAAAAAAAAAAAAAAGAAGGAACACTGGTCTAACCAACCAGGCAAGACACAACAAATTTAGTGGTTAAAAGATTCAAATTGTGACATGTTTTCTGTTGATTGATTAATAAAAGTGATTACTGAATGAAAGAAAATTCCTTTTTTGGGCTTTTAAACATGATCTTAAGAATTTTAACATATACCGGTGTTGTCCTGTCAACTTGGTGGGTTAGGAGTTGATTATATCGGGAGACAAAAAACAAAAAAAAGGGGGAGAGAAGGCTGACACAGGGCCTGGCCCCATTGTCTCCCCTCTGAATAACACAGCCAACACAACAACATTTTCCTGTTCGTTTGTTTTTGTTTTTTGTTTGTTTTTGTTTTGTTTTGTTTTTTCTATACATATTTAATTACAGGCTGCTTTGCCGGCCCTGAAAGCCGAGGCTGACTGGACTCCTGCTCTCCCCCATACGTGACACTGACCAAATGCTGCAACAGCTGGACCCACAACAACGACCTGAGAATGTCAACAGACCTGCAGGAATGTGATCTCATGCAGCCGAGACGGAGAGCACTAAACCTAAGGCCCGTTTCACTACACGGGGGAAAATTCCCAGACTGCGTCAGCTGACAGAGCTGTGACGAGACGCCCGCCAAGCCCGAATGAAAAGTAAGGCCGAGCGAAAGAATGCTGACCTTGATAACTTTGCATTCACACTGTGCAGGACAGTGATGGACCAACACGGATGATCGGGTGGCGAAAAAGGGCGTGACCGAGACAAGAGGAGTAACTGAGGACAGAAGGCACCTCAGAATGGACAAAAACACAGAAGAAGATGCAGGTTTCACCTGCGGTGAACATCGACACTGGAGAAAGGACTGCCCCAATTGGGGTCAGAACCAGGACGGACTGAATTTTGAGCAGCAGCAGCAGCAATGGTCGCAAACAAACTGAAAAGGAGGGGGGCAGGACCCCAGGGCATGCTTCAGGCCGTGGTTTACCCAGAACACCAGAACAGGAAAGTGATGAACACACACACACACACACACACACACACACACACACACACGTCTCCAAACACACAGATTCGCGTCCATCGCGTTCGGTGTGAACACACCGTAAATCTATTTGGAGTATCGATATCATTCTTTCACCGTAAGAGACAGCAGGCTTTGGTGAACAGTCATGGAAATTTTCAGGTCTCTGTGGAAATCCAACAAAAAGTTATGACGAGAGAAAAAAGTGGTTCATTTCCAGAGTTTGAAATCTGAAGAAATCTGAGCGAAGGACGAATTTCCTACCCTCAAACAAGTCCAACTCATTTCAGAATGGTAATAAAAAAAAAGCTGGAAAAAGCTGAAAATTTAAATAGTTAAAAGCTGAAATGTGAATAGTTGATTTTTGTATTATATGATTTATTTATTACATTTTATGTGGAGTGAAAAAATAAAAGTATATTTACAGTGGCCCCTACAGACAAAGCACATACAAACTTCAAATCACGTACGAACTCTGAAGCACGTACAAACTCCAAAACACGTAAAAACACGTAAAAACTCCAAAACACGTACAAAAAACTCAGAAGCACGTAAAAACTCAAAACACGTACAAAAGACAACAGAAGTGCTCCAGGATGCTGGGCGCAGTGTTGAGCTTTTGTTACCTAGTGGCTACACAAGCCAGCAAGTACCAACGACCGGATTTGGTGTGTGGTAGTAACAGGTAAATGAACTTTTTTTTAAATTATTTGAATATATATGAGTGCCTGTGTATAAATACACAAACAATACACACATGCTTTCAATTGTGTAATTTAAGTGATCTAGTAGCTCTGCTTTGGAAGTTCAGTTCA